ATTCGGGGTCGAACCACCCTTCGAAATTCATCATCGTAGTGTTCATCTCCTCCCCTCCATCTCTTCAGATCCACTTTCCCCTACCACCTTCCATGTTTGTTATGTGTATATACGTATGCAGATTTCACTAGGCATATGTTCCTCAAAAATATGTATATGTACACATGTATGTGCGTTCGTACAAATACGCCTACGCATAGCCATATACATATACACATGCATACACATGCACATGTACATGTTCATGTAGAGAGCACAAAACCACATATACACATAGTCTATGAACGTGTACTTGGACACCTGAATTTGCATGCACGAAATACATGTACGCATGCGCGTATCTACTCATGTAATACGTATGCTTCTGCATATACATATATACATGTGCATGTGTATATACGTATATACACGTATACGTATAGGTATGCACAGACATGTGGAGACACACATATGCACATGTAAAAGTACCATCACAAACAACACATACGTACACACATTTGCGTATACGCATACACCGAAACGTATACGGATGCGTGCACATGTAAGTACACATACACTTAAACATATACAACAAACACATGTACATACACATGTAAATGAAAACACCTATACACATTCAAATACAAACATTTGTATGCGCATACAACTGTACATATAGACCTACACGCATATCTATAGAATGCTTACTTCAAGAGACCTTCAAAATCGCCCCAAGACGGCCCAACAGATTCCCAACATGGACCCAACACGGCCCAAGAGGGCCCCATGACGGCCCACGAGGCCCCCTGAACAGCCACCCTAGACAGCCTTACGGGGGGCCCCATCGGGGGAGCTCGAATTGAACTTTCCAGCTTGCCGACCCGCACGATGGCCCCACGACGCGCAAGATGGACTCCAGACGGCACAAGACGCCGCCAAGAAGCCCCACGAGCCTCAAGAGGCTCCCCCAGAGAGCCTCAACGCGCAAAAAGTGCACCATTCCCTTCAGAAAAACGTACGTCTTGCCCATATACGACGTTTCGAGGTCCAGCGCGCCCAACGCTGCCCAAGAGACCTTCAAGATCGCCCCAAGACGGTCCAACAGACTCCCAACATGGGCCCAACACGGCCCAAGAGGGCCCCAAGACGACCCACGAGGCCCCCTGGACAGCCCAAGACAGCCCTAAGAGGAGCCCAATCGGAGGAACACGAATTGAACTTCCTAGCTCGCCGACCCGCAAGATCGCCCCAAAACGCCCAAGATGGCCTCCAGACGGCACAAGACGCCGCCAAGAAGCCCCACGAGAGCCTCAAGAGGCTCTCCTAGAGAGCCTCAACAAGCAAAAAATGCACCATTCCCCTCAGAAAACGCACATGTTGCCCATATACGACGTTTCGAGGTCCAGCGCGCCCAACACTGTCCAAGAGACCTTCAAAATCGCCCCAAGACGGCCCAACAGACTCCCGGCACTGGCACCCCCACCCGAGAGAGCTCCGATGCTACTTATTTCCCGAGCGCCTCTCCGACGGGCGTGCCGGGCGCGGGGCGCTCCAACCCTTTCGGTGGAGGCCGTTGCCCGCCCGGGAACGCGGAAGGAAGAGAAATGCCAGGGTGGGCGGGCGGACAGCGAGAGCCACGCGTCCACGCTAGAGCCAAAATGGCCGCGGACGGTGCGCGAGTCTCAGCGCCCGCCGCATGGTGCACAAAGTGCCCCTCGCATTAATTATAATGCCCATGGCACTGGCACCCCCACCCGAGAGAGCTCCGATGCTGCTTATTTTCCGAGTGCCTCGCGTGGGGCGCTCCAACCCTTTCGGTGGAGGCCGTTGCCCCAGCTCGCCCCCGCCGGCCGGCACTTCATCGCAGCCTCTAAAGCAACGGGCGCATCCGACAGATGACAGACACGGGGTGCGCCCCCGGAGCAAGCGCGCGCGCGGCCAGCCCGAATCTCCAGCCACACCGCGTCGACCAAGCAGCTGCTGGCATGGTGGGCGGCCCAACCTGGACTGCATGCACTACGCCCGAGTCGCGGTTCAGCACCTGCCCGGCGCTGCTGCCGCCGGCGCTGGCAGGCGGGCCCCGTTCGTTCGCATCCTGGCGGACAACGGCGTCAAGCAACTCGCGGCGCAGCGACTGGCGCCCCACGGCAGGGCGCACCTGGCTGAGGACCATCTCAACCAGCCTGTCCGGCGTGGGCTGGCCGCGGCGGAGCTCTGCCAGCTCTGCCCGCAAGTCTGCGACCTGGCCGAGCACGGACTCGAGGTCGACGTTGCTGCCCGCGCGCGCGGCCCATCCCGCCGCCGCCTCCAGGGATGCATCCCGCACGTACCCCTGGACGGCGGATGAGCCCCACCGTCCGAGGAGTTGAATTGACCACAAGTCGACCCCCAGGCGCGCCGGGCCTTGTGCCCCAGTGGGGCGGAGGCTGTGGCCCCCGACGCGTTCGGAACCGTCCGGGGAAGCCGCCGGGGCGCCGAGGTAGGTCGCCGCGCGGAGTATGGTCGCGGTCATCGCCTCTTTACTGACCACTTCCCCCGCCTCGGTGGGGAACTAGGGGAGGTCGCGATCTGCGACGCCGTCATGCCACCGCTCTGGGAACTTGCGCTGCAGCAATAAGATCTGGTCCCAGATGGCATGCGCCGGGCACGATGGGCGAGAAGGTCGACCCAGGGCGCAGCAGCAGCCGTGGGTCCGAGCGACGCCGAGGGCGGCCACGTCAGCCTTCGACGCCGGCAGGTGCCAGGTGGCCTGCGGGTGGTCGCCGCGCGCGAGCTCGATGAGGCACGCTCGAGCGGTTGATAGCTCGATCTCGCGGTTCATCCACCACGCCCCTGCCACCATGGCGTTCCTCGGGCCGATGGGGCCCCCGTCGCACCAGGCGCCATGGCCTCCGGGGAGCTCGCCCAACCGCTCGAACGGCAAAGCGCGCGCCTTGACAGCGGGGCCCATGCCACGCTGGCATGACCGCAGGCCGTCCTTGGCCGCCCGCTCGAAATCTGCACGCAAGGTAAACCCCGCGCGCTCCGCGAGGATCCGGCACGCAGAGATGTAGGCCTCCGCGCTGCGATAGCCCCCCTCCTTGAGGCTGGCGCAGAGATGCGTCATCTTGACTGGTGTCGGAGGTAGCAGGTCGTCACCCCAGGCGTGCAGGAGCGCCGCGACCGCGCGTCGGCGTGCCTCCACGACCCTGCTGGAAGACGCCGCGCACACGTCGGCTGCGAGACGGCGCAGCGCCCCGTCGCGAGAAGCCCGCGAACCGAGGTCTGGCGGATGGCCCCTCTGGTAAGCGAATCTGCCCGGGGCGTCCCGCTGCAGAGGGGGCAGCGCGCTGTCGGCCGCTTGCCTCCCCTGGCGGTCCACGAAGATGCTGCGCGGCGCGCCGCGGCCGCTGCGCGAGCGGCGCCGCGGCGCCGTGGGCGCCGCGGCAGCTGCTGCAGGAGCCAGGCCGCGTGCCTCGGTTGACCCCCCCCCCCGCCAGGGCCACGGCTGAACGCGGAGCCCGGCAGGCTGGCCGATGGCCCGACCCGGTGGAACGGCGGGGCGCCGCTAACGAGCCGGGCCGTGACTGGATGCCGGAGCAAGGATCCAGCGGAACGGCCATGGCCGACGGGCCGGGTCTGGCTGGATGCCGGAGCATGCCAACCGCGCGCAGGGCCTGGCGGAACGGCTGGCCGTAGCTGGCCGACGCGCCAGGCCCCCCAGATGCCGGAGCAAGCTGGGCGCGCGCAGATCCAGCGGAACGGCCGAGGGCCGACGTGCCAGGCCCAGGCCGGACTGGATGCCGGAGCAAGCCAGACGTGGGCCAAGTGATCCAGCGGAACGGCCAGCCGTAGAGAGCCGACGTGCCGGGTCTGGCTGGATGCCGGAGCATGCCAGCCGCGCGCAGGGCCTGGCGGAGCGGCTGGCCGTAGCGGGCCGACTTGCCAGGCCCCCCAGATGCCGGAGCAAGCTGGGTGCGCGCAGGTCCAGCGGAACGGCCGAGGGCCGACGTGCCGGGCCTGGGCCGGACTGGATGCCGGAGCAAGCCAGACGTGGGCCAAGTGGTCCAGCGGAACGGCCAGCCGTAGCGAGCCGACGTGCCGGGTCTGGCTGGATGCCAGAGCATGCCAACCGCGCGCAGGGCCTGGCGGAACGGCTGGACGTAGCGGGCCGACGTGCCAGGCCCCCCAGATGCCGGAGCAAGCTGGGTGCGCACGGGTCCAGCGGAACGGCCGAGGGCCGACGTGCCGGGCCTAGGCCGGACTGGATGCCGGAGCAAGCCAGCCGTGGGCCAAGTGATCCAGCGGAACGGCCAGCCGTAGCGAGCCGACGTGCCGGGTCTGACTGGATGCCGGAGCATGCCAGCCGCGCGCAGGGCCTGGCGGAACGGCAGGCCGTAGCGGGCCGACGTGCCAGGCCCCCCCAGATGCCGGAGCAAGCTGGGTGCGCGCGCGGGTCCAGCGGAGCGGCCGAGGGCCGACGTGCCGGGCCGAGGCCGGACTGGATGCCGGAGCAAGCCAGACGTGGGCCAAGTGATCCAGCGGAACGGCCAGCTGTAGCGAGCCGACGTGCCGGGTCTGGCTGGATGCCGGAGCCTGCCAGCCGCGCGCAGGGCCTGGCGGAACGGCTGGCCGTAGCGGGCCGACGTGCCAGGCTGGGTGCGCGCGGGCCCAGCGGAACGGCCGAGGGCCGACGTGCCGGGCCGAGGCCGGACTGGATGCCGGAGCAAGCCAGACGTGGGCCTGCACGGAGCCTGCGACGCTAAGGGAAGCGCGTGCCATCCCCATGTTGGCAGCATTGCCGCGTGCTTCGCCTGGGCGGGCGGGAGGGCGCGGGGCGGCCGCGCGGCGCCCCCCCTCCTCGGGCGGCGAGCGGACCTGCCGGCGGCGGGGACCACGAGACGCGAGCGCCGGAGCGGCCGGCGACCAATGCCCCCCCTGCTGCAACAATGATTTCTGGCGAAACCTTCGGCGGGCCCGAAGGGGGAAGGCGGGCCCTAGCCCCACTCAGGAGGCCAGGCCCCGGCCAGACGGGCCAGAAGCTGCAATTCTGAGCGCACAGCAGGGGCGCTCAGAATTCCAGCGCGGGCCCCTGGCGGCCCGCCTGCGGCGCCGCAGCAATTCTGAGCGCACAGCAGGGGGCGCTCAGAATTCCTGGACGGGCCCCCCGCGGCCCGCCAGCGGCGCCAGCAGCAATTCTGAGCGCGCAGCAGGGGGCGCTCAGAATTCCAGAGAGGGCCCCCCGCGGCCCGCCAGCAGCGCCAGCGGCAATTCTGAGCGCACAGCAGGGGGCGCTCAGAATTCCTGGAAACGCCCGCCGGCCAGCGGCGCCAGCGGCAATTCTGAGCGCACAGCAGGGGGCGCTCAGAATTCCCGGAAACGGCCCCGGCGGCCCGCCAGCGGCGCCAGGCGGCCGGAGCGGCCCCAGACGGGGTTGCGGGGGAGCGCGGGATCTCTTTTCAGCCTCGTCTTCCAAACGCACCCCTCGGTTAATATCAAAATCACGGTGCTCGCAAGCCCGGGGGCGCCCTCATCGCCACGAAGAGCTCGGGGACGCCGGGCGTGCCGACCCGCTCCGCCTCGACGAGCTCCGCTGGGAGCTCGGCGCGGTCTGGCGCGGACAGCCGGGAGAGCGCGTCGGCGGACACGTTGTGCTCCGCCGGCAGGTGCGAGACGACGTGCTCCCACCGACGCCGAGCCCGCCGCCAGGCGATCTCGCGGGTGACGCGGTTGAGCAAGCCCTTCCCGCGGAGGTTGAGGGCCCCCCCCAAGGCCGCGACGCTGTCGCCCGCGATGGCGAGGACCTCGGCGCGGAGCGAGTCGCCCCACACGCATAGCACCAGCAGCACCGTGAGGTACTCCCAGAACGACTGGTGCCTGGGGTCGCCCGTGCCGATGTCAAAGAGGTCGCAGATGTCGGGCGTCCACTCGACGGCAAAGTACTCCACCGGGGTGCCGCGCCGGTAGAGCGCCGCGCCGCCGCCCCACGGCGACGCATCGAACTACACCGCGGCGTCGGCCAGCGGCGGACGATCGCCCTGGGCGCGGACGACGCGCCGGAGGGGGAGCAGGCCGAGGCCCGCGGGGTCAACGAGCGCCCGCATCCACATCGCGGCACCGCCGAACCTGCGGCAGCCGACACGGCCTGGCGGCGCCTCGCGGCCCGCCGCTGCGGCCCCGCCGAGGGCGCCCCACAGGGCGGCCGCAAATGGCGCCGCGTCGGGCACCACGCACGCCACCCGCGCGCACTTCCCGACGACGCGGCGGGCCGCCGCCAGCGATGCGTGGCCGGTGCCAGCGGCGAAGGGCTCGAGGAGCTCGAAGAGGTCCGCCAGGAACCCTGGGGGCAGGAAGACGTGCACCTCGCCCGGCGCGCTCGTAGAGCGCCCCCTTCTTCCACGCCAGTGGCACGCCGAGAAGGAGCCACCACGTGAGCACGAGGTCGATCGCCAGCTGCGCCGCCGCCAGTTCGCCTGTCACAGTGAAAACTGGATCGTCCACGTAGAGCTGCAGGCGGCAGGGGGCCGCGGCAGCGTTGCCCGCCTCGGACCGCGCGAACGGCCGGAGCAGGGCCTGCGCGGCGCGGGCGGCGAAGGACGCCACGCGCCCGAAAACGACGGGATTGGGCTTGCCACCGAAACCCAGCACCCGCCAGACTACGAATCCCCCCTCGAGAGCTTCCTGTAGGTAGATCGCTGGCCTGCTCCTCCGGAGCCTGCGGCCGACGTGGGCGCAATTGAACGGCTGCTCGTCCAGGTGCAGTGGGACCGACATGAAGGCGTCCGCGAAGTCAAGCACGAGCGCCCAGGCCACGTCGCCCCCCTGCGCCCGGGCGGAGAGCAGCGCAACGTCCAGGGCGTGGTCGACGATGGTGGGCTGGACCTGGCGCTCGGCGAGGGTCACCGCCGAGTTCACGAGGTTGGCCCTGGATGACGCGGCGCTTGGTCGCGCCGTCGGGCTTCTCGCGGGAGATATTGCCGAGGAGCGCGGGGAACACGGGGGCGGAAAAGTATGACTCTGCCGCCGCGCAGTCCTCGAAAAGGATCCCGAAGCCCTGGTCGACCAGGCTTTGCACCTGCTCCACGCCCGGTGGCCGAACCTGCCCGTGCTGCTCGTAGAACGATGGGTGGTTACCGAGGTCCACCGCGCGCTCGAGGAGCTCCGCCGGGTCCAGCGACGCCTCGGAGACGGCCGCGGGGAAAAGCCCGCCGGGCGGGACCTCCCGTCTGATTCCCATCGGTGCGCCCTCCAGCAGCCAATCTGCCACAGCTTCGCCAGGGTCCTCGGACTGCCGCTGCACGGCGCGGACGAGCTCCGAGCGCCACGTCGAGGCGCCGTGACGCTGCTCCGCCGCCGCGGCGCTGATGCCCAGGAGCCCAGCGAGCGCGCGGCGCAGCGGGAGCAGGCACTCCTCGGGGGGCGGCGGGCGCGCTGGCGCGACCCCGCACGCGCCCGCGAGTCCCTGGAGCCGGGGCTCCTGCCCGCGGCGCGCAGCAATCAAGTCCGCGACCGGGGCCATCGTGGACCAAAGGCCAGGCCACGCGCGCCACACGTTTCCCGGATTCCGCAGTCCCGCGCGACAGGCGGCGTCCTCGGCCCGCTCGACGTCCGCGGCGGACGCCTGAGTCCCGCCGCGGAGGACGTGCCGAGGCACACGGCCCGAGGCAGTCCTCTCCAGCAGAGCCATTGCTGGGTCCTCCGCGGGCGCTCGGGCCCGGGGCGCTGCCCCCGTGGCCTCGGGCCCGCGCCCCCCGTCAATGCTGGTCGCAGGCGCGGTGGGGGCCGCCGCACATGCGGCATTTGTGCTGGCGGCCCCACGTGCACGGGGACTTGCAGCCGTTGGGCGCATTGTTCCAGAGGTTGCAAACCTCCGAGGCCCTGTCCCGTGCGGAGTTAGCCTTGCTGCCCGCCTGCTGTGGCTGCCGCTGCTGCTGCGGCCGCGGCGGCGGGGGCGGCGCCTGCTGCTGGCCGCCCGATGGGCCGCTGCCCCGCGGGCCACGCTTCCGGCCCGCTGGGCCCTGCGGGGGTGCGGCCGAAGGGTCTGGAACCCTTCCAGACGGCGCGCCCTCCAGGCGGTCCACGAGGACGCCATCCTGGTTTCCCCTTCCTTTCTTCGTGCAGGGCGCGCCAACGTGCGTCCACCACCAGTGGCTCATCTGTGTGCTCGCATTCGGGCCGCCGTAGGCTGAGGCGTCAATAACGCGCGCCCACGCCTGCCGTCATCCGGATTGTCCGTGAGGTACTCCTCCAGGAGCGCGTTCCACTCTTCGGACGTGACCGCGTCGTCGGCCCTGAGGATGACGCCCCAGTACAACGGGTACATGACGGACAGCTGGCGGATGCCCTCCTCGTACGAGTCCAGCACCGCAGGCGGCGCGGCCCCCAGGGAGACCACGCACGACCGGAAGACGAGCCAAGCAGACCGCCAGGCCTCGAAGTTCGAAGGGCCCGTCAGCATCCTCGTCTCGAGGCGCCCGTCGACGAAGGTCTGTGCCTCGAACTTCCTCTCCTTGGCCTTCCTGCGGCCGAACGGCCCGAACACCCCGAAGTCGACGTAGGGCGTGGCCTTGGCCTTCAACCGGGCTGCAAGCCCAGAGATTTGCTCGGCCGACGGCCGGGCGTGATGCGGCGGCGGCCCCCCCGTGACCTGGATGAACCTGCGGCGCGCCGCAGCGATCTCGTCCTTCGAGAGGATGGGGAAGGTGCCCTCCGAGCCCTGGTCGAGGATGTCCGCGAAGCGCCGCTTGTCGCCCGCGGCCGGCGAGGGCGTGGGCCGATCCTGCGGGGCCCCGGAGGGCCGCGCTGGAGCAGCCGCCGGCGCTGGCGCGCCCAAGTCTGGTGGCGGCAGCCCCGCCACATCGAAGACGGCCCGGACCGCCCGCACGGCGCGGCCGTGAACGATGGCGGATGCTGGCACGCCCTCGACCTCGAGCTGGTTTAGCACCTCGATCAAGCGCTGCTCAGGGATGGCCACGAAGTCCGAAACTGTGGTGTCCGTGTCACCGCCGACACCGGCCACTAACGCTGTGGCCAACTCACCACCGAACCCGAGCGTCTCAAAGGTGGTGTGGAGCACGAGCCCCGTCGCGGCCGCCGGCGCGCCCCTCGGCACAGCCGCTGCCTTCGGGGTCGGCCAGCGGGGAGCGCCCGCCACATGGGGCGCCAGAGCTGGCGGCGCGTCGGCGAAGCCGCCGAAGTCCATGGCCGCAATCGCAGAGCCAGTCGCAGAAGGGCCCCGGATGGACCGGCAGGGACACAGCGAGAGCCACGCGTCCACGCTAGAGCCAAAATGGCCGCGGACGGTGTGCGAGTCTGTGCCCGCCGCAAGGTGCCCAAAGTGCCCCTCGCATTAATTATAATGCCCATAACATGGACCCAACACGGCCCAAGAGGGCCCCAAGACGGCCCACGAGGCCCCCTGGACAGCCCAAGACAGCCCTACGAAAGGCCCCATCGGGGGAACTCGAATTGAACTTCCGAGCTTGCCGACCCGCAAGATCTTCCCAAGACGCCCAAGACGGCCCCCAGACGGCCCATGACGCCGCCAAGAAGCCCCACGAGAGCAACGAGAGGCCCTCCTAGAGAGCCTCGAACACCTAGAACCTCGAATCGGATCGAAATGGACCCTGCCAGGCGCCCCTCTCCCTGCAGGACCCGCCCGCTCCCGCCCCAGGCCGCCCAAGATGGCCTCAAGACGGCCCAATAGACCGCCAAGACGGCCCAAGAGGCTTCATCTTCTCCTGCTCCTCATCCTCCTCTTCCTCCTCCTCCTCCTCCCCCTTCCTCCTCCTCTTCCTCCTCATCCTCCCTCCTCTTCCTCCTCCTCCACCTCCTCCTCCTCCTCCTCCACCTCCTTCTCCTCCTCACGCTCCTCCTCGTCCTCCTCATCCTCCTCTTCCTCCTCCTCCTCTTCCTACGGTCGCATTCACAAGCCGCCACCCTCCAAGCGGAAAGGCTCAGACTTGCGACGAATACCTCCGATCTGCGACATGGCCTCACAGCGACCATCCAAGATCATCAACCCCTCACTGACACAAGCAAATCACTGACCAGACCCATGATCACCCATGATGGCCCCAGGACAACCCCACTAGAATCTGCGACGAACCCCCGAAACCAAATCCACAGTCACTGCGACCCCCTCAGGAATACACCCGCCAATCGACAGAGGTGCGACATTAAGGGCCGGCGGAATGAGCGAAGCGATTACATAAATGCATACTTGTATGTATGTATATATGTATGCAGACCTGGACAGATTCGAGTGCATGTGCATACACACCCACTCGTACATACACATGTGTATATGCAAATGTACGTGCATATGCTTATGCATATGCAACTGCATATGCAGCTGCATGTACACATGTATCCGCCACCGTGCCGCTGGGCACGGAGTGGGCGTGTCCATAAGTCCTTTGCCCAACCCTCTAGGCCTCAATCCCCACTCCTGAAGAGTCTTGAAGGGGCCTGGAGCCGAAATTGCCAAATTTTGGCAATGACTTGGTGGGGCCCAATAGGGCTCCAAGACGGGCCAAGAGAGCCCCAAGAGACCCCCCCAAGATGGTCCAAGAGTGCTCCGAGTTGCCGAAGTATCGCTCCAAGACGCCCAAGACGGCCCCAAGACGGTCCAAGAGGCCTCCAAGACACCCCGAGAGCCTCCAAGAGACCTCCCAAGAGGGCCCCAAAAAGGTCAAAAGCATTGATGTTCTTTCGGTGTTTGAAGGTGTGGCGGGGTTCCGAATTTCCTGCTTCCCGACGATCCAAGACAGCCCACGAGGCCCCCAAGATCACCCCAAGACGGCCCCAGAGGCCCCCCAGAGGGAAATGGAGGCCCAAGAGGGTCTCAAGACAGCCCAACAGGCGCCCAAGACGGCCCCCAAAGGAGGCCCAGATAAGGAACCCTAACAGACATTTCGAGCCCTCGGCCCCGAGGGCCCCCAGGAGGCCCCCTGAGGCCCCCAAGACGCCCCCAAGAGGACCCCAAGAGGCCCCCAAGAGGCCCCAAGAGGCCCCCAAGACGCCCCAAGAGGCCCCAAGAGGCCCCAAGAGGTTCCCAAGAGGTTCCCGAGAGGCTCCCAAGAGGCGCCCAAACTGCTCCCAAGAGGCCCCCCCCCGAGAGCGTCCAGGAAAAAAAACGAAGAAACATCAATGAAAACTCTGACCCAGAACCCAGGCACGGTAGAGGGATGGGACGAGCGCCATGTGATACGTATAGATGCATGCATGCATGCATGCATGCATGCATGCATGCATACATACATACGTACCTACCAACCTACCTCCCACATACATATGTATACACACATATATGCACATATACATACATACATACATACATACATACAGACAGACAGACAGACAGACAGACAGACAGACAGGCAGACAGACAGACATACAATACATACATGCATACATGCATACAATACATACAATACATACATACATACAAACATGCATACATACATACATACATACGTACACACATACATACATACAATACATACATACATACATACATACATACATACATGCATACATACGTACATACAACACATACAGACATACAATACAATACAATACAATACAGTACAATACAATACAGTACAATACAATACAACACCATACAATACAATACAATACAATACAAAACATACATACATACAGACATACATACATACACACATACATACCCATGTATATCTATATATATATATATGTGTATGCCTACAGACATACATACATACATACATACATGCATGCATGCATGCATGCATGCATACATGCATACATGCATACATGCATGCATGCATACATAGATAGATACAGACATGTCTCCATGCATGCATACATACGTACATAGGTACATACGTATATGTATATACACGTGCCTGCATACATACATGCATGCATACATGCATACATACATATATGCATACATGCATACATACATACATGCATGCATACAAATATACATACATGCATGCATACACACATACATAGATACAGACATGCCTACGTGCATGCATACATACGTACATATTATATATATATGTATATATATACCTATGGGTACATGCATGCATACATGCACGCATACATACACACATGCATGTACATATATATATATATACATAGACATACATACATGCATACATGCATACATGCATACATACATACATACATAGATACAGACATGCCTACATGCATGCATACATACGTACATACATACATGCATGCATGCATGCATGCATACATACATACCTATATACATACATACACGCATACATACATACATGCATACATACATACATACATGCATGCCAACATGCCTACACGCATGCATACATACGTACATATGCACATACGTATATATACATGCATGCATACATACACACATGCCTACGTACATGAATACGCACATACATGCACGCATATGTATGCATACAGAAATGCATACATACATGCAAGCATGCATGAATGCTTGCGCACCTGCATACATACATACATGCATGCATACAGACATACATGCATAGAGACAT